TGCCCAGACGGGTCTTGAACCCGCGGGCTCAGGCAATTCACTCACCTTGGCCTCCCAAAGCGCAGGATTACAGGCTGAGCCACCGAGCCTGGCTCATCTCAGCCTTCTAAGTAGCTGGAACCACAGGCATGCACCACCATGCCTAGTTAATTTTTTGATTTATTGTAGAGACAGGGTCTTGCCTAGTTGCCCAGGCTGGTATCAAACCCGTGGGCTCAAGAAATCCTCTCACCTCTGCCTCCCAAAATGCTGGAATTTCAGGCGTGAGTCACTGCACCCAATCTCGTCTAGGTTTTGATGAAATCCAGCAAAGAGTACATCCCTTTAGGGACAGGTATGGGGTTACCAACCACATTCACTCCCTCTCCTCCACCCCCAGGCCTGCTTTACTCTGACTTCCTGGCAGCATGACGTCAACAGCTTAAGATGCAATTCTGAGGATGTCATCATTGGCTGACTATATTTAATACCCAGGACTATGTATTTTTTATTTTTATTTTAGTTGGAGTCTTACTCTGTTGCCCAGACTGGAGTGCAGTGGCATGCTCATGGCCACCGCAGCTTCGACCTGCTGGGTTCAGGTGATCCTTCCACCTCAACCTTCCAAGTAGCTGGAACGACAGGTACTCAGCTCCCTGCTCGAGTAATTTTTGATTCATTGTGGAGATAAGGTCTCATCAAGTTGCCCAGGTTGGTCTCGTACCAGTGGGTTCAGGCAATTCTCTTACCTCAGCCTCCCAAAGTGCTGGGATTATAGGCGTGAGCCACTGTGCTTGTGCAGGACCACGTATTTTTAAAATGGTTTACTCTGAGGTTTATCTTATTTCTATCTGGACTGCTGTATAGTGTCCAATTATGTGGGTGTAAATGAATCTAAGCAGAGAAAGGTGAGGTGAGTGCCATTTGCACTTATCTCATTTAATCTTTCTGACTACCCAGGAAGCAGACATAGCTGGATTCGAACCCAGCTGATTCCAAAGTCCGTATTCTTTACCCTACATTAGACTGCCTCCCCATGGACGCTCAAGGACCTCCATGACTTCATTCCCATCCTCAAGGCAGTCTCAGCTGTTTCCATTCATGATTCCCTTTAGGAGAGCCAAATTGTTTATAGCTCCCTGCGTGTGCCGTGCTGGGTCTGATTCACAGACAGAACGGTATGATTGTCTCTACCTGTTTGGCTGAGATCTGAGTACCCAGGCCCAGGAAGATAAAAACGCTGCAATGGAAGCAAATAAAAGGCATCATGGAATTTATTATGTGCCACATGTACTATATAACAGATCCTTCATGGAGTTTATTTAATCCTCAGAAATATCATGTGCAGTATCAATAAGAGGGCGTGTGAGTGTAGGGGCTGAGACTTTAGACTCTGGAGCCAGTATCTCCAGGTTTGAATCACAGTTTGTTACTTACTAGCTGCATGACCTGGGGCAGGAAATTACCCTGTCTTCGCCTCACTTTGCTTCTCTGTACAGTGGGAATGATCATAATTGAACTGCCTCATTAGGTTGTACTGAAGATCAAGTGAGTCCATACAAATAGGATACTTATAACAGTGTCTGGCACATGGTATACTCTATCCAAGGAGTAGCTACTATTAGTGCCCCAAGTTTAGAGATGAGTCATCTGAGTGCTAAGAGATTTTTATACCGTGATCTCAAGGTCTTTTTTTTTTTTTTTTTTTTTTTT